GGGGGGGGGGGAACGCTGAAGTCATGTTTAGGATTAGGGGTAGTTGTGTAGAGGAGCTTATGGCGATATTTTTGGGGGCTGTGGGAAACCAAAGCCATCTTGAATCCTACCACTCCAAATCCTCCGTGTGTGTGTGTTTGTTCAGGGGTGGTGGTAGTAGGTTTGTTATTTGAGACCACATTTACAGCCCAACAGTTGTTTCATGATGGATTCCCCCAGTCTTGTAATGAATTTACGGAATACCGCAAAGTAACCATTTGCATATATTGAGAAATCATTAGCTTTCCGGATAACATCTCCTCATCTAATTTACAAACCTTAAGTGACCTTGTCCTGCACCTTAGCTTGTTAAACAAACAGTTACCAGAGTGAGTTTCCAGGCTAGATAGATAATCAGCTGCTCATCTTATACACATCAAACATGTTTGTAAACTTACATGCAAATGTAACTGCGGTCGGATTAGATTCTAGTGTGGTCTTTACCTTTCACTACTACCTCCACCTGCCAGCTGCTGTCAATCAAACACCACCACACTCCTTCTTTTACTTATAACTAATAAATACATTGTAGACAAACATGTTGGCATTATTCTCTACTACCACCAGCTGTGTTTCTAAATAACACCGTTATCATCCTTAAGGCTTGTAGTGTAATATTTGCAATAATACAAAACCTTTATGTCAGAGTTTCTGAAAACAGACAGGATGATCTGATGATCATTAGATACTAAACCGTAGTTGTGTATATGACGAAGTTTCAGCATCCCATTGTGGAGAAACACATTTAGTCCTTTGCACATTTTGATTGAGGATTTCTGCCAGTGGAAAGAGAAATAAAACCTTACTACAAGCCTGGGCGCAGGTATTATAGTTTACACATTCAAGTCTTTGTTTCAAACTTTTAAATCTTAGTTTTGACCTTCTCTGTGGTTTTACCTCCTAGAAAACATCTTTATGGGGCAACAGAGTATGTTGGATAGCAAGAAGAACAGCAGGCAGACCAGGCACAACCCTACATTTAATTCCTTCACATTCACTTTAATATAGGGTCTTTCCTCTCTTTCCATCTTAGCTTGTGTCTTGAAGTGATTAGCGATGTGTGTGGGTGTTCCTCTCAGTGACTCAGGGAAGACCCATTTCACACAGCTGATAAGGTTACTTCCTCTTTTAGACCCAGCTGAGCACCACCTCTGACCCGTGACCCCTTGCAGCTGGGGGTCACCAGAGGCGTCACGGGATATCGACCAGACCCCGCTTTACTTGTCTATCATGGTTTGATATGTTGTCAGGCTAACCAGCGTGTGTGTGTGTGTGTGTGTGTGTGTGTGTGTGTGTGTGTGTGTGTGTGTGTGTGTGTGTGTGTGTGTGTGTGTGTGTGTGTGTGTGTGTGTGTGTGTGTGTGATTTGAGTCAGGTGAGTAAAAGTAATGCCGTTTAAATCAGAAACGTCTCAAATCGCTAGCTTGAATATTCCAGTGAGGGGTCAAGTGTACTGTAAGCAGCTTTAGCTCATGAATGCTTCTCTGTCTATCCCTAAATCCACATCGGTAGATTGTATTTTGAAAGACACGCGTATACTAACTCGTCGAATGAAATGATTATTTTTAGCCGAAATACTAATAGACCACTTTCACTTTCTAAAAAGCCCCTCTGTCCCACTTGAATCTTGTTTTAGATAAGGAATGTGATGAGGGTCCGCCAGAGCAAGCAAACATGGAGATATTTTTAACCCTATATGCTGAAACTCAGTTAGCACAACTGAATGAAGTGTATTCCTCTGGTTCTGCAGAGAGTCATACACATACAATAAAGTTCATTCATCAATCTCAGTGGTTTCCTCCCAGAAATCATGCTTAGTGCCTACAAAAGAAAACCTCTATGTGGCACGCACTCTCTGAGAAAGGGCGTGTGGGGGTGAGGTTTGATGTGTGGAAAACAGGTGTGTTGGTGCTTTTGAGTGTGGAAAACAAGAGGCCAGGCCTGCGAGTGAAGGATCACATCTGGCCTCAGATTCCATTGACATGAAATGAGGCTTTTCTTTTGTTGTGTGAAATACTTTGTAAAAGACAGAGGAGATCAAGATACTGTGGGGGGGATACACACCCTGTAGCAGTCCTTCAAAACACTGTACTATTGTGTGACTGTCCACCCTCCAGCCTCCACACAGGGAGCAGCGTGGAGCCTCCTGGCCCAGAATCAGAGCTCCTTTCTGGGCAGGGGAAGTGTCTTTGAAGCCCCCTTCCCCGACTCTCTAATCCAACCACCCTGTAATGAATGAGAAGGCTGTGAAAGGAGACACGGTGTGTGTGTGTGTGTGTGTGTGTGTGTGTGTGTGTGTGTGTGTGTGTGTGTGTGTGTGTGTGTGTGTGTGTGTGTGTGTGTGTGTGTGTGTGNCTTATGACCTGCATAATTACATTACATTATATATTACATTGCATTTAGCTGACGCTTTTATCCAAAGCGACTTACAATAAGTACATTCGACCAGGAAGATACAACCTTGAAGAAAACAGAATCATATAAGTACATCAGGTTTCATAGAGCCAAACATTTCAAGTGCTACTCAACTGGCTTTAGATAAGCCAGTCCTTCATTAGAATATAAGTGCTCTGTTAGCAGTTCTTTGTTAGTAATTCTATCGCTCGAAGTGGAGTCGAAAGAGATGAGTTTTCAGTCTGCGCCGGAAGATGTGTAAGCATAACATACACACACACACTCATGCATACGTATGCACACATTAAGAGGCACAGACACACACAGCCAGACACAATAAAAGAGAATGCAGAGATTAGACCTGTCTGAAGTTGTTGGGATGACCTTATAAATGATTTCAATGACACACACTGAGTCAAGCGGGCCTGTAGCACCTGCACAGGCAACAGCTGGGAACACACATGGGCAACAAACACCCCCCCTTGCATATTATGCACACACACACGCTCACCACCCACAACTTTATTTGTGCTGCTGCCACGCTCGGGCAGAGGAATGTGTGAGCAGGTGCCCCCTGCAGAGAGGAAGAAGCACTAAACACTCACCATACTGTTTGCACAGAAGTCAAACACTGTCCGCTTGGTTTTAAAAGGAAACCAATACAGTAGTGAGTGGTGGTGGTGATCAGGATGATGGGAATTCTTTTTTTTAACAAATACCCGTTTCTTGATTTTTTGTTGCCAAAAGCCAGAACTGAAACTTAGAATTGATTTTCACAATGTGTCACCATTCACACCACATTGAGGAAGATTATCCCCATACTCTGCTTTATTCAGTTTTTATATCAAGAGCTGGTTAAGAATAAGTCACACTGTTAACGCTCCCATGATCTGACACATATTCAGTCAGTTTGGTCCCTTTCTTCTCTTCTGTTTCGTTCTTTCAAGTGTTAATTCTAACTTTTATTTGTCATTTCTTTACTTTATTGTTTTATTTTTAATTAAAAATGTTATCTTGCCGTTTCGATTTCTCTTATCACAAAGTGTGCTATCAAGAATGCTCATGTAAGCACAATCGTTTTTTCCAAGAATGACAAAAAAAAGGGGTGAAGGAAATCCAAGCACAGAAGGACAACAAAGATGGCTGACCCCCAGGTCCAGGACCATTGTACTGTAGGTGTCTAAGCATGTGTGTGTATGTACTTGTGTGAGGAGGACATGGACACAATGAGGCTTTGTTTAATTTTGAGTGCGTCCCATAGCTCTGACCACCACATGGGCACTTGTTACATATAGGAGGGTGGCACGAGTGTGAGTGTGTGTCTTTGTGTGAGTAAGTGTTGCTTTGTGGGTGTGAAGATGTGTAGGTCAAAAGGTGACATAACTGCACAAGAGGAGGCTTCTCTTAAGGGCGCTCTCTTTAGGGTGTGGACACTCCCCCTGTGTTTAGTATATGTGCGAGGGGTGTGTGCAGTGTGTGAGTGTCAGGGGTGGGCTGTAAACCCCTGTGTCAGATGGGTCAAACACCCAGTCGAATAAGGCGACTGGTCTGGTTAGAGGTAGTTTACTGCCTCCTGCTAAAGAGGTGGACACCCCACCACGCCCTGCAGGTCCCTCACACACCCAGGTCACCAACACACACACACTGAATATTTAAAGCTGATGTCTATGCCCTGCTGTCATCTGCAAGACTGACACATGGCCACATGTATATGGTTTAATGACACCTCACCAATATTTGAGTCTGTGCTCAAAAGTGTCTGCACATATATCAGAATGTCATCGTGTGTCTGAGGTTGGGTGGTCTGTTGATTTATTGCCAGTAGGTCGCTCTTACAAATGTTCCCACAGTGGAATTGATTTCCAGACTAATTGTACGAGGTGCTTTGCCCACTCTTACCAGCCGATGTTACGACCAATACCCTCCCAGTATCCCCTCCCGGCATCGAACTCTCACCTCTCTTCTGTGCTTCACAGTGCGGACAGTTGTTGTCAACAATGGCATGGACAGAAGTAGAGTCAGGCGGCTGTTAAAAGAGCAGCCCTTCTAATTACTGCACACAAAAGAGCTGCATGCCTGTTCAAGCACTGCTGTGAAATGCTGCTTACTCATCCTCTCTATTCAACTTATCCATGGCAGGTTATTATGGGATGGAGTAAGTCTGTGAATGGTTGTTCCTCCTTAATGCAGTCTCTATTTGAGCATGATAGACCTTTTAAAGCAACTGTGCTCTACATATAGTTTTCTGTCTATGTAGATGTTAATGTAGCCTCTCTTGTTTATTGAGATTACTGTGCAGGTTGTTACAAATGAATATGATATTTATGTAGCCACTCATTGAAAGTAATTCTAAATATGATGCAATGTTATAAAACTATCAAACAGTATATAAAGTAGTCAGCTCCACAGTTATAATCCAAATAATCTAACGACAGGAGCACATTTGTACAATTAGAACTCTTTCTTTTGACACTTTACATTTACTGTGCGTATAAGGATTGTGTATATGTTTGATTTTGGGGTATTGCTGTTAACCTTTGGGAAAGACGTCAATAATCATTGCACTCAGTGTAGCAGTTGTAAGTTAAGGCCAAACAGAGCAATAAACAAAATGGTGTACAAAGCACTTCTCTGTAAAGGAACGATAATCGGTGGTTTGCCTTTCATTTCCTGAGCTTCTTGTCCTCTCTGCTCAGTCTAAAGGTACAGTTTGAAATAGAGCGAGATAGAGAGGGGAAAAAGGAACGGGGTGATTGAAAGTGTGAGTGAACCACCCCCCCCCTTGACTCACCCCGTTCTGCGTCATGAATTTGCCCCTTTACCCAGCCCAACAAGGAATGTTAATCAGCAGAAAGCTGCTTTAGATTTACAGGGGGGGATTTGCATCCAGTTCTTTGAAACGCCAATATCAAAGTTCACGTCGGACTGTGAGAACCAGCAGCAAGAGTTTATATCTGAACAAATAAACTGGAAAGGATTTGGTGCTGTGAAATGTTCTCCTTGAGCTTTTAAAGTGAACTACCTGTGATTGTCTGATGATGTCACGCTGGTGTGAAAGACACTGCATGGCCCTCTGAAATGGTGTTAATTTCGATCTGGGAGTGTGTGTGAATGCTCGATTTAGTACGTGACAGAATAATTAAGGAAGAGAGAAGGAGTCGAAGTAGCAGTTCAAACTAAGAAGGACTTGGTGAGTCACAGAATGATGAATGTGATTCATGCAGGGGTTGAAGTGATAATAAAAAATGCCACATTTTAGTCTTGAGATTAGCTATAAAGGTAAAGGTTTTGTAGTGGCAAAGGTTTATCAATAACGAAACTAATTAGGAAGCATGAAACAAATGCAAGCGGTTATCAACCTGCAAGTCGAGTCTTCCGAGAAAAAATCAGATGAGTCACAAAGGAAGTTGTATGATGTCACCAAGACAGAGACCCATACAGTACATGGAAAAACTGCATTGTAGGTGAAAAAAGGGAGTAAATGAAGCTCTAGTGAATTGGTCCTAACAGATAAAAAACGTTTTAATCCTTACAGTTCTCCAAAAGGTGTTGTGCTAACAAACCCCTGCCCACTTGACTGGTCAAGGTTCAGATATATTTACTGCTTGCTCATTTCTTCTTATAATTAAAAGTTGAAGGCTGAAAATACTTCAATCCATAATGGAAAGACTTAAGGTCTGACTAACATCAAATGGCCAGAGTTCATGTTTATTTGTTCGTAAGTGGTTTCAAACATCCATCACTGCACACATGTGAAAGTCAGAGGCGTTTTAGACCTCTGGGAGACATCCAAACAGCCAACTGGCCAGTTAGCTCCACTGGAGTTTCCTCTCCTGAAAAGAATATGAACCTCCATCCCAGTCTCTGTTACTGTGATTCACCTTCTTAATGTGTGTGTGCCTGCGTGTGTGTTATTAAGAACGCCATAATCCAGAGTTCAGGCTCAGGCCTTCGCTCAATGAGAGTGCTGTCTGCCATCCAAACTGACTGGCTCTCTGTTCTCGCTCTCAGAGCAAATGAGCTGATCACACAGACAGAATGGGAGCAATTAGTGCAAACACACACTAACACGCACACACGCACACGCACGCACGCACGCACGCACGCACGCACGCACGCACGCACGCACGCACGCACACACACACACACACACACACACACACACACTTTGTGCCTCTTGCCCAGCCTGCTGCCCATAGTGTGATGTGTCCAGGAACTGAATAGAGGGCAGCTTGTTCTTAAAGGGAGGTTAACTGTTTCTATTTGAATTGGGCATATAAAACAGCCAGCACTAGATCGGTTCCAGCCAATCAGGTGCCGTCTTTACTACAGTGATAGTGAGCTGTTGAATAAAAAAAATGCTACTAATGAGAATAACTCCCGAAGTGCATATTGCCACCATTACTGTACATACATAGACACTCAACCTTTTGGCAGAGTTTTTCAATGGTGACATCATCCCAAAAGCCAAAGTGGATTTGATTATGAGAGGGCGTGTTTGAGGTTAAATGTTTATGTGCATGTGGGTGTGTGTAATATCCGTCATCCTATATCATAAAGAAAACAAAACCAGCCTCCATATACAGTGTAGTGTATTTCCAGCTCAATTACTGTACAATAAGCCAGTGAAACCTATAAAACCTAATCATCCAATAATGGAGCCATACTGTCCCTTAGCTGCACATTATTGGAAGTGGCGTCACATATGGAGACAGGGGAATGCTGAATGAGACTAGATAGCCACAGGCACCACAGTTGGCCTGGAATGTAAAGTATAAAACATGATTAGAGAGCGAAGAGGGAGAGTAAAGCACGGGAGAGGGGGGGGGG